ATGTGGTACGGTACGGTACGGTACGGTACGGTACGGCACGGCACGGCACGGAACGGTACGGTACGGTACGGTACGGTACAGTACAGTACAGTATAGTATAGTATAGTATAGTATAGTATAGTATAGTATAGTATAGTATAGTATAGTATAGTATGGTATGGTATGGTATGGTATGGTATAGTATAATATAGTATAGTATAGTATAGTATAGTATAGTATAGTATAGTATAGTATAGTATAGTATGGTATGGTATGGTATGGTATGGTATGGTATTATATGGTATGGTATGGTATGGTATGCTATGGTATGGTATGGTATGGTATGGTATAGTGTAGTGTAGTGTAGTGTAGTGTAGTGTAGTGTAGTGTAGTATAATAGAGTACAGTATAGTATAGTATATTATGGTATGGTATGGTATGGTATAGTATAGTATAGTATAGTATAGTATAGTATAGCATAGCATTGCATAGCATAGCATAGCATAGCATAGCATAGCATGGCATGGCATGGCATGGCATGGCATGGCATGGCATGGCATGGTACGGTACGGTACGGTACGGTACGGTAAGGTGCGGTACGGTACGGTACGGTACGGTGCGGTGCGGTGCAGTGTAGTGTAGTGTAGTGTAGTGTAGTGTAGTGTAGTGTAGTGTAGTATAGTATAGTACAGTACAGTACAGTACAGTACATTATAGTATAGTATAGTATAGTATAGTATAGTATAGTATAGTATAGTATAGTATAGTATAGTATAGTATAGTATAGTATAGTATAGTATAGTATAGTATAGTATAGTATAGTATAGTATAGTATAGTATAGTATAGTATAGTATAGTATAGTATAGTATAGTATAGTATAGTATAGTATAGTATAGTATAGTATGTATGCCATTTTATGAAGTGTTCAAGTGGTCTTTGAGTCTATATAAGAATCAAAGTAAAGAGCAGTTTATACTAATAGGCTAATCACTTACTTATGTAACTTGAGCAAAATATGTTTAATTAATGCTAATGTAAAAGCTATATGCTGTTTGAGTTAGCGCTCGTGGTTCCTTACCTGCAGCATCATTCCCATGAAGGCCCAGACTCGGAACATATTCAATGGAACTGACACTAGATACTGGAGTACATGAAAAGTAAAAGGAGCTTTAAGGATACTCGGTAGAAAATGGTCACATGCAAAATGTGTTTGCAGCGATTTACTAGACCAATCGCTTGTACTCGTACTCTCACAAACTACGCCTGATTCTTGACTTCTATCTCATATTGCTCTGATTATGTTCAGCCAAGCCAGATATTCACCTCATGGAAAAATGCAGATAGAAGAAAAACAGCAACAGCAGCCTGCAGTTTTGTGAGACCAGAACGCAGCATGGGTCGGTAGACATGCCTCAGAGCCCACTTGTGCACTGGCATGTTCCAGCGGTTCCAGAAGTCAGACACAGTTGGTGCATTCCTGTGATATTCACATGGTAAGGCAACACACACGAACCAAAAATTTCCCACATGAATTTACGTATGATTAAAGTATATTGTATCTTCTTCATTATACTGTATGTTCTCATTCTAAACTCATTACATCCTGCCATTCATCAAGACTCATATATTGGTCTTTAGAGCTCACATCTCATTATATGCAATGCTACTCAATAGTACTGCCAGTGTAAACAAAACATACACAGCACTCAATGTACATTACCACCAATCCAGGTAGAACTGCCTGTCAGAAAACCGCAGCAGCTCTGCTGACACATTCATGCTGAAAGCAAAACAAATGTTTCCATCTACGTCTAGTTCTAAACCATCTGCCATGTTTAAAGAAAATCACTTTACTAAAGTAGTAGTACCTGACCATCTTTATATCACTAGCTGTTAGTATTCCACCGTTTTTAACATTTGTTAAAATGACGGAATATCATATAAGGCACGAAACTTGAAATCTTTATTCCCTTGCAATGTGTCCTGTAGGTTCCATCACCCAGCACTGAACTGCACTTTTAATAATTACAATAATTTTCTTAGAATTCAACAAAATCAGACTGTGGAGGTGAAATGACTTATCATCAGTTCAAACAACATTGGTAGAATGATATGTACAATGCAGCAGTTTGCAAACCATGTTAAAATCATGAATACATAGTTCAGATAAAAAATTGGATTAATCCTACCTGCTGTGAAAGATACAGTAGAAGCAAATCAACCAAATGACGTGGTTAGGTACCTGACGGGAAAAAAATTATAACATGATAAATGCACAATATCATGTATAACACATAACACAAAACGTAGTTGAGACAAACAATGTTAACTTTTCTTAAATTTATGGTTGACACCATTATTATTGTGCACCTAAAATTATATTCAGCATGTAAACACTCGAGTGACAATGTGTGATTTGATATTGACATATTATATATTCTTATGGCTGTGGAAACATCTGTTACATAAACATAATATATAAAAGGAACAAGCAACACAAGTGGCACCTGTGTGTGATAGAGAAACAAAGAGAAACAACCCCAAAAGAAGGAAAATGTTATTTTGAGGGAGAATATTATGTCACTGTGAGATATAACATGTCTTATGAGAGAGGACACCCCTATGAAAGCATTGTCTGCCACGCTCTACATACCGATAGCTTCAGTAGTCTCTCCGTCATTCTACCAAAGTTCATAGACTGAAGAAAAAATAGTTACCACTTAATAAAAATTCGACATTCAAAAAAACAACTCAAGCTTAGGATATCAAAAGTATTTGAAAGCATTTTACAGCGAGCATCTGAACAAGACCTTATTTTGCATTTTCCAAAAGATTAAAAATTAAATATGAGATCTACAAAGATCTAGAATTATGTTATATTCGTGCCTACGTTTATAGGTTGCATGCTATTGTTTATAGTTGGTAGCAGCCATTGCTGGGTCAGCATCAACACCAGGTTAGACAGAAACACCTGCAGACAGAAACATGGAAAATAATGCAGTAATTCAAATAGTATTTCTTCTGAGTAGCCTGATAACTAGGTGTGAGTGAAGCATTTAAAATTGCTGCCACCAAGCTCATACTCAGGATACCAGATGTCTAATAATGGCCTAAGTCAACAGTCTTGATAACTGAAAGATTTTTTTTTTTACGTTTGCTGCACATTATTGCTATGCCAAATGAAACACCTATCACAGATGGCCTAACAACTACAACAAACACAAGGTGGAGATACCATGAATGTATGTGTATTAAAATATTGCTACACACAAAATTTGCACATATATATATATATATATATATATATATATATTTGTACATATTTTGTGGTTGGGGTGGTGCAATATACATAGGTTCACTCTAATATAGACTTTATTGGCTTTTAGCAAGCACAGACAGCGATAGCATTATTTAATAAAAACGTCGTTGGAACTGAAAGGGATACATGACCATAGGTTCCTTGTATAATTTCAGTTGAAATAGGTTAAAATTATGCTATATACAAAATTTTATTATTCAACATTTATTAGAAATATTTGTAAAAAACGTTTTAAAACCAACGGGTGTATCGTTGCTTACAACGACGATGGTGCCACTACTAGCCCATCTGCTTTCAAAGTTATGTATTGTTCGGTTGCAGGCTACACGCTACAGACCAAGGGTGTTTCTTATTTATTAATTTAAGAGGAGAAGGATTGCAATATCTTGTAAAAAACTTTTAGATTCAGTTATAATATGAACGAATTTGTCATAAAATAAAAATCGTTCAGTTAAATAGCAGTTAGGTATAAATATAATTGCATTTTGTGATGAGCCCTCGGTGTGTAACGTGCAAAATAAATCGGCAAAGCGTAACTTCATCAGGGCGGCAGCACAATCAAGGTGTGTCATGTCAGTGGCCACAAATAAAGATTTCGAAACTCACTGCTGTTTTATGACAAATTTGAATGCATGATTATAGAAATTTGTAGGTATATGCTATTATTTATACATTTACTATCATAATATACTCAAAATTATAGGGGAAAGTATCCCTTTAAGATCATAAACCATACACTTATTTGTAACAGTGTTCGTTCTTTCATAACATCTTAGACTGTCCGTGACGTGACTGACTTCTACGGCTTGTTGTTTTATTTCTAATCACATCAAGCTTATATCTACACTGCCATATAGATATAGGCTATCAACTATTTTGTTTAAAATACACACATACCATCTCCACAATCCTTCTTAGCAGGAAACCCTTGCGAATCCTTCGAGAACGAGGAAAGTTCAATTCGTAGCACAGCGTCGGTGCAAGAATGAAGTAGTACAAATCTAAAAGAATGTTTCCAGCTTAGGCACAACAGGAAGCAGTGTCAGAATAATGTCACAACATCATTACAATTACTACTATTTTCTATTACAAAGGCTAAAATCCAAGGCAAATTCATTAAGCAGCAGCCTACCTTTTAGAGTCAGGTTCTCTGGGTAGTACACTAACTTTTCAGATTTCGTAGTATCACTGTCAGACTCTCCGCTACCTGAAATATAATGTGTTACCTAATTAAAAACACATGCACATTATACCTGCATATAATTTGAAGTATGAAAACAAACACCACATACACAATCAAATAAAAAATTAAACATTGTACAAGTAGTAAAGCTGAGACACAGTCACACTTCTATTGAATCTATTGCAACACCATCTATATTCTACCAAGGAGGGTATAGTTACTGGTTACATATACTTAATTAACACACAAGACACTGACTAATTTTACTTGATGTTATCAACAAATACTCGATATGGAACAGTGCAGAGATCAAATATGGCTGGGTAACTCCCGGGTGTAATTACGGTAATTGCTAATTGCCTTACGATACAGGCTGAGGTCAATGGAACCTCTGCGAGTGATCCGCTTCCTCTTGATCTGCTCCTCCCTGCACCATCTGTTGACTTGGTGGTACGACCACAACTTAAAGAAGACCGTCGTGTGAAATCCACATGCAAAGCATGCACCAACTGAAATAAGCACTTCCATCACTCACTTTATCATGCGCAGCACCGATTAGGCATTTCACTCTCCAGGTGTAAAGCTCCAAATTTATCTCGTACATTGCAAAACCGGCAAACATCTACGACGTATTAAGCAACACCATTAGCATGTATAAGTCACTGTTGCACTCACATGGGTTTGGATTTATCCGGAGTATCACAATAGCTGGTATCAGGATCATTGATACCATGTTTATGACTTTCAGCCAAAATGCGATGTTGTCAGGCAATCTCCCCTAGAACCATTAAAATGTAATGGCACACTGACAGGTTTTATTTAGCACATATCAAAAACAACAGAAAAACTCAAATGGTAACGCAACATCAACCTCATATTACATGAAAATATTTTTAAAAACATACAAAGTCAATACACAAAAAATAGCAACATTTAAAGCATAGATAAATACATGGCTGGATGGATGGATGGATAAATAAACAGATAGATGGGATTACTGGACAGATGGACCAATGGACAGATATATGGCCAGGCAAAAACAGAAACAGACATAAACAGACAGCCATAGAAATGGTAAGATTGAATATCAGGCATATTGCATATATGAAACGTTAAATTTTTCACGGCTAAAACATGATTAATTCTATAAAAAGGTGAACAGCAATTTGAATTGATGAGCCATTTTATTGCACATACACGTTTGTTAGATGCAAACAACAATAACTTACCTTTGATTGAAAGACCTCTATCATTAATGCCACCACAATGTAGATGTTCATAGCTAGTAACAATTAAACACTTGATCATTGATGTTAGTTTGTACATGACAATCACCAATAATTACAATTAGCATTTGGCAGCAATGCCTTATCATAAAATAAAAATAAAACACAGTCACAACAACCAATTTACACCATGGATGTAACTTGTAAATTATATAATAAATAGATGTTGTGTTACCTAGAAGAAGGGTAGCAGATGGCCAGCTGTATGGATTCTTGACAAACATCTGCACCCATTGAAATGGATCAACTAATATTCCATACCTAGGGAAGCAAAAAAGGAAACACTCATCTTGACATATTATACCATGAACACACATGAAAAAACGCACGTACGCACACACATATACACACAGGCCAACTTACCTACATGTATCGCCTAACCTGCTGTGGTTAAATATGCTTATATTATATACAAACAGAAGGGGTCTACAAAAGAATGTGATAGGGGTAGACTGGAGTGTTGTTCTATCATAACCACCATCATTCCTCTAATGTTTGTTAAGACTAAGAGACTAATGTTTGTTTTCACTGTGACACAACGATTGAGACCAAATGTTTGAGCCACATATATGATTACATGAGTGACATAAATATATATACACAAATATAACTACGGCTATCTTATCATAACATTGTCAAAACCTGGCACACTTCACATACCACATACATTGTGCCAAATGCACTCACACTCAAAGTTTTTCATAGCTTTTCTTAAATTATCTTTCTGTGAACAACGCGGGTAAAAACACGAATGCACGTACTTGATAATGTTCTCCAGAGCTACTCGTGCATTGGAGAGGACCTGTAAAAAGAAGTGGAAAGTTAAATCTATAGCTGAAGTAGGAATCTAACTAAAGTTGTCTTTTAAAAAACATGTTATTCAGTACTGGATTTAATTGCAGATAAATAAGCTATTTTAAAAATAACTAGAAAGGGCAGTTGTCGCCAACTACTTGTATCCCCCGTGTTCTCCCCAAGATGTGTAAGTATACGAAGT